CGGACAACAGCCCACCTTCTGCTCCAGCACCCCAGCACCCAGAGGCGGCTCTCCCCTGCTCCACACGCAGCTCGGGACCTCCGGAGCAGGAGGGGATTTCCAGGGATTTATCACCCTGCGAGTTCCACAAGCCCGTGCAAGCCTTCAGCATCCACAGCTCCCTGCAAAGGCAAGTCCCACAGCTCACATCTCCTCCCGCGCCCCCAACGAGGAGCTGGTGGGTGGCATCTGACGCCCCTGGACTCCTGCCCTGGAACAGGAGGGTTCCCCTCAGCCTCTTTTTCCTCCTCCTCTAGAGGAATTCAGGTAATCTCACTGCCACAGCTGTCGAGCCGTCAGCTCACGTGGTTGTCCTCCAAGCTTTCTTCTCCACCGGGCTCCACCCAGAGCAGCAGTCGCCCTTCACCACTCCCGTGCAGCGCGGCGCCCTTGGAGGAGCAGCAGAAGGGAAGCAGCAGGCGCAGCTCCTTATCTCACTCCTCACATTTCATTCGAAGACTATCAATAACCAGGACAGCATTTCCAGCACGCCCCACTGAAGCTGCCCCATTTGGGAGATGAATTCGGATCCGACTCTGCGAAGATCCCACAACAGCGGTGTTTAAGGGAGAGAAGGGAAATAGGACCACGTGTGCTGGCTCTGTGCATTTATTCCTCCAAAGTAACCACATCCACGAAGAGCCTGGCAGCCACAGCGAGCTGGGTGCTACCCAAGGGGGAGATCTGTCCTCCTGCAGGAGCAGCAGCTCACATCTGGAAACAAAACAGCCTCCTGTTCCCAAACACCCCCGTGGAGAAGCCTCACACTCGAGGTGCACAGGACGCGCTCTCACACCTACCCCCAGCTGGTTGGAGACCCCCGCGTGTTGCAGAGGTCCTGGTGCTCTCCCAGCCTCAGATACGAGCTCCCTGAAGGAAGCCTGCAGAGCTGTAAGCCTGGATGAAGTTAGAGGAGAGAGACCAAGCCAAGTATATCCAGGCTGCACACTGAAATCAGTATCTCAGCTGCGTTTATGGCTTTAAATAAGAACACAAAGAAAATGTGTTTGAGATCCTGAAGCATCCCTTGGTCCTCTACCTTCGGGCCATTTACCTGAAGGACCATTAAGATACCTTTCTCTGTTAGCAAAGACAGCTAACTGGATGCAGTTATACCCCAAAAGGCTCAGAAAGCCTCACCAGCAGTGAGTCCAGAAAGCACTTTTCTTCTCAAAGCCAGCAGAAAGACTTGTGCTGGCACAAAGCAAGCGCACAGAAGTTTACGCCAGGTTCAATCCTGTTGGTTTCTCTCCGGACAAGATTTGAGGTCCTCCCACAGCACGGCCTGAACCCATTTGGTGCAGAGGACACGAGAAGGCCGAGCAGGCAGGCGCCTGCCCAGCTGCGACCAGCAGGGATTTCCCCAGGGTTTTCACACCACAAGCCGTGTCCCCACTGCCACCTGGGGGGACCCCGGGGTCTCATGGCATTACAGTGCTTTGGGGACAAAGATGGGACCCCCAGAGACCCCCTGCCAAAGCAGTTCCCCAGAGCAGGCTGCCCAGGGAGGTGTCCACACGGGCCTTGGATATCTGCAGAGAAGGAGACCCCACAGCCTGTCCCAGTGCCCCGGCACCCTCCCCAGGAAGATATTTCACAGGTAAACTGGGCCAAAACCAAGCTCTGATTCACAGGGCAGCAGCTGACTTCACGGGAAGGTCTTAAAAAAAACCTGTCAAGATGCAGGAAGAACACATCCGAGTGCCACAGTCCATAGGAGAGGGTTTTTGTGGGACAGAGCAGCCGAAGCCACGGCTTCTCGTCCCTGGTGAGGCATTTCTCACCCCTGGATGTTGGTCGAGGACTGGCAGACAAGCACCCAAAAACCTCAGCGCTGTCTGCGAGGCCGTCAGCTCCTTCCAGTCCATCTCCAATTAATGTTTCACAGACTGCTCTGCACTGCTGCGTATTTCTGCAGCAGTCTTTGAACCTTCGTGGACTTTCAAGTTTCTGTATGAGGGAGCAAACGGACCTGCAGCCAGCTCCTGTGCTCAGAGCCTCCTAATTCCTCTCCCAGCACATCACACCCTCACGGTGTGAGTCTCACCGAAGCCCCCCCCATTTGTTCCCCCAGCTTCCCGCTTGATTTTGCCCCGCTGCCTTTTTGGCCGGATCTCCAGACGCTGCAGGAGCTGCTGTGAGCAGCAGCACAACCACCAGCACCACGACAGAGCTCACGGCTGTGCCTGAAGCATCCTCCACAGCACGGCTCTGCTCCTCCTGCCTCACCAAGCGCCTTCTTCTCACCCTCCGAAGCCAACAGAAGGCAGTCTGACTGCACAGGAAGCCAGCACGCAACAAAAAACACAGCTGGAGCAGCTCAAGCTCCCAACAGGTAGCACGAAACGAGGCATTTTGCACTCCTAGACGGGCAGATGATGAGCGGGGTGGGAGCTTTTACAGGAGGCAGCGTTGGGCACCGCGCTCCTTCCACCCTCGCTGTGCTCCCGCTGCCCCCAGCTCCGCGCGGCGGAGCCGTTCCGTCAGCTCCCACACGACGACGTGGGGACTTCCCATGAAAAACAAACACCCGATTTCTTCACGCCTGGCACGTGACGCCTTCCCCTGCGCAAACAAAGCGCGGAGAGGGCCCGCTCGTGGCTCCCGGCCAGCTGCAGGATCGCTCGCCTGGGTTTGGCCGGGTCCCCGGCACGCCACCGCGCCCTCGCTGACCGCGCGCCGTCGCCTCCGCAGCAGCAGCAGCAGCAGCCCCAGGAGGATGCAAGCAGCACGCAGGGAGCTCCCCACAGCTCTCAGCTCCTCGGCTCTCCTGGCAAATTGTGGCACAGGAATTGTACAAAGCCCAGCCCCGAGGAACAGCGACTTGGGGCACAGGGGGAGCGCGGTGCTGAGCTGCCCACGTAACGCCGCGACTCCTGCAGTCAGCCCCTTCGACCCCAGCACAGGAACACGCAGCCAAACCAGAGCAAAGCGAAGCTGCTGCAGATTTGCTCTGATGTCTGCACCTGCTCAGCCAGCCCCCGTTACGGCTGCCTGAGCCCCGCAGCTGCCTGTTTGAGCTCAGCAGTACCCGGGCACCACGAGGTGAGGAGCGGGGTTCCTGCCTCAGATCCGTCTGAGGGGCTACGAATTGAGCCCAGGCACCGACTTCCAGTGGAGTTTAAGAACACCCCAAATGGTCACCCAGCTCTGAAGGGCTGAGGTGTAACCCTACAGACACACACCAGTTCTGAGGGGCAGCCCTAAAACCATTTGGTTTACTTCCAGCAGCACGCACAGTTCAGCACACTGCAGGGAACACCTGATTTTTGGTAAATCAGCTCTGTGCCACTGGTGTGTCCCTGCAGTTCCTTTTGCCTGTACCTGCAGGGTTTGCTCCAGGTTGGAGACACCCACTGCGTTTATCTTAAACCGCACAGCACCCGCTGCTTCCCTCCAGGAAGCTTTCTGCTTTAAAGCAGGGCCACGCAGCCACTGTCCCAAGAAAAGTGGCAAGCCAACAGTCAACTGCAGCTGCACATCGACTGAATGAGCCAGGAAATAAGGAGGAGGTTGTTTATCAACAGTGACTTCCTCCCTGCGCGCACTGCCCTCGTGGGGCACGCTTCCCTCACCTCCCGCTGCAGCCCTGCTCCAATTCATGGATGTAGACGTAGGAAAATGGGCACAGATTAAGCCCCACCGAAAAAATCCTATCCACACGCGTACCCGCTGCCTGCCCATCACACAGAAAGGCCACGCGTCTGTCACCTAGCACCATTTTTCAAGCAAACCCTGAAATATCAGGGCAGATTGGGGAGATTTGGCACCCCCCAGCACACTGCCACCCCCTGCACCCTGCCCGGGGGGGGGGCTCCTGTCTCCATTTAGCTCCTGGGGAGCCCGGGCTGGCAGCAGCCCCCTCCAGCAGCACGGCTGCAGTGGTTTCCGCCTGGTTTAGCTCCCCGAGCTACCCGCGGTGATGCAAGAGAGAGCAGGGCCGGCCCCAGAGCTCAGCAAACCCCTGAGCGGGGTGACACAGCTCGCCAGGACAGCTGCCACCAACCCCCACGGCCCCCAGCCCTCCCCCGGCAGCTGCCACGCTCCTTCCACCCCCCACGAGTGGAGCTGCGAGGAACTTCGCTCCTTGAATGAGCACAGAGGCACAAACCACTACAAGAAAGCCCCAAAAGGTGTTATTTCAAGCTGGAGACACGGGGAAACTTTTCAAAGGCTGAAATTGGAGCTGGACCGGAATATTTTAACACTCCTGCTGAAGACACGGAGAGAAATATTGGCCAAAAGGGGGGTTTGGGCAAGCATTTGCTCAACTTTTCCTTGTTTCAGCACTCTCTGCCGTGAAACCAGATACACGACCCATGGTAACACATCACCTCCAGACTGATAATTCTCCGTGCAACTTTTTTAAGTATGTAACTTAGCCTTCGAGTAGCTTTTGGCACTGAGCAGTGGGCAGAGCGTGAGCAGCAACCCATGCTGGCTGAAAAGAGACTCGGTTACAACCAAAAAGTTGTAGAAAAGAACACAAAAAAGTTTCACACTTGCGTTTGCTGTGTGCATTGGAGATTCTGCCATTCTTTACGAAAAAAAGGAAAATAGATATATTATGGTAGAGACATATTAATGGGTATATATGTAAATATAAACAGGAACGTGCAGAGGAGCTGGTAGCCCACCTGCGGGCCGCACCTCACACTCCTAAAATCATTCCCATGCACGGCCCCTCCTGCTCAGAGAGCCCCCAGCTCAGTGCCCACAGCCAAATAAATCCTTATTTATGCACATTTTATGCTCGCAGGCCGCACCCGCAGCTGCCCGCCCCCCTGCACCTCCCCAGGCCCAGCTTTAACCCCCCCCCCTTGAGGAACGCGCCTGGTTTAACCCCAACCCCCCCCCACCCCCCAAACCCCCCCCAAACCCCCCCAAACCCCCCCAGCCCCCATCCCCTCGCCTCACCCAGGCCCCAACGCCCCCCCCCCCACACCCCACCCCCCCCGTACCGTGCGGGCGGCCTCGGCCCAGGTCCTGCCCTTCTTGCGGCGGCCCTTCTCCCTCATGTCTGAGGCGGCGGCGGGCTGCGGGGGGGCTGCGGGATGAAACCGGGGCTGCGGGTGCCGGGAGCGGTGCCGGGGGCGGCCGGCGGGGCGCGGAGGCCGCCCTAGGGCTGAGCGCTGCCGGCCCCTGCGCCCGCCGCCGCTGCCATGTTGGGCCCGGCTCCCAGGGGCCGCGGTCATGTGACCCGCCCGCCGCGGGGCTCCGCCCCCTTCTGCGCCGCCGCGCGGCGGGGGGCGGGGTCTAAGGGAGGTGGGCGGGGCTTCGGGAAGTGGGCGGGGCTTCGTGGGGCGGGGCTTCCGAGAAAGGTCATTGGGCGGTTTTATAAGGGGGCGTGGCTTCTGAGTGAAAGGGGCGTGGCTTATAGCGGTATTTAAATTAGGGGGCGGAGCTTCTCGATGGATGGGCGTGGCTTCACCCGGGTGTGTTCACCCTGGGGGCGTGGCTTCCGTGGGTAGGGGCGGGGCTTGCGGAGGGGCGGGGCCTCGCCCTGCGCATGCGCGCTGCCGCCCCGCCTCCAGCCAAGGGCCGTGGCCCCAGCCCCCCCCCGCCCCCCCCCGTCCCTCCCCCACTGCCACCCACTGCCCCCCCCCCCCCGTGTCCCCTCCCCCACCGCCACCAACGGCTTCCGGCTCCCCTCCCCCCCCCCAACCCCCCGGCCACCAACTGTCATCAGCTCCCCTCCCCCACCGCCACCATTGACCCCCCCGTTCCCCTCCCCCATTGTCACCCAGTGCCACCAGCTCCCCTCCCCCACCACCATTGACCCCCCCCCCAGCTCCCCTCCCCCACCGCAAAGTGCCATCAAGTCCCCTCCCCCACACCACTGATCCCCCCCCCCCTCCAGGTCCCCTCCCCCACTGCCACCAAGTGCCACCACCTCCCCTTCCCCCCCCCCATTAGTCCACCCCCCCCCTTGGCTACCAGCTCCCCACTCCTGGTGGCCATCACCGTGTCCCCATTGCCACCACCACGTCCCCATTGCCACTACCATGTCCCCACCGCCACCACCAGCCCCCATTGCCACTACCATGTCCCCACCGCCACCACCATGTCCCTAAGCCACTGCCACCACCATGTCCCCACCGCACCCACCATGTCCCTAAAGCCACTGGCACCACCATGTCCCCACCACCACCACCACCATGTCCCCACCACCACCACCACCATGTCCCCCCCACCACCACCATGTCCCCACAGCCAACCACCATGTCCCTACAGCCACCACCACCAACATGTCCCGAAAGCCACTGGCACCACCATGTCCCCACCGCCACCACCATTTCCCTACAGCCACTGGCACCACTATGTCCCCACAGCTACCACCATGTCCCCACAGCCACCACTGCCTGTGTCCCTCACCATGCCAACTTCCCCATGCAGCCCCTGCTGCCCCCCAAGCCCACCGAGCACCAACCTTCCCCATCCCCAGCCTCCAGTGGCCACCACAGCCCCGTGTCCGCGTGGCCAAGGCCCTCAGCCACCACGTCCCCACCACCCAGGTTCTCCCCCTGGCACCAGCAGTGCCCTCAGAACTGCCCCCGTCTCTGCAGCCCACCTCCCTCCGCCCAGGGTGGCCGCCACCATCCCAGGCTCCCCAGATCTCTGCCGGTGCCTCCCAGCCACCCTGCCCTCACCGCCACCATCACCCACACCCTCCTGCAGGCTCTCATGGCCCTTGTCCATCCCCTTCATGCTCCATGTGCCCGCAGTGCCCCCATCCCACCCCTTCCTCCAGCACAGCAACCCGCCACCATCTTCTCTCAACCCACACGAAGCATCTCTGCCCTTGGAAACCCCACATGGCGTTCCCAACACATGCAGTCTTCCACATTTATTTCCACCTTAATGTGAATCTCAGCGACGTGGATGGAAAATCTTTATATAAATCTTTATATAACTATATAATCACGCTGTTTGGAAGCCAGCCCTTGTCACACACCTGAGAAGGACACAGGTCCATGCAGCACCTCAAAATGGCTGCCCGGCCAGCCCCATGGCTTCACAGGAAAACGAGCGGCTTTGCCCAGCGGGCAGCACCGTGTGTCCCCATCTCTGTGGGGAGGGAGGGTGGGAAGCCATGGTGTGTGTCCGTGTGGGAAAGGCACCGTGATAGTGAACACTGCCAGAAATGAAAATGAAGGCCCGCATCCCTGATGGTGCCTGCGCACCTTCATGCTCAGTGAGCCACAAGCGTGTAGGCAGCAGTTGTGTAAGGAAGCCAAAACACAGCAATGGGCACAAATGTGAAGGCACGAGGGGTCCTACAACCAGGCACCAGTGGTCCTACAACCAGCCTCGAGTGAAATGAGCGAGTTTACATTATGAACTCCTTGAAGAAAATCACAGAGGCTGTGAGAGGGACGAGCCAAACCAGGCCTTTCCACCTCTAAAGCAAATCTAAAACTGACTGAAGAATTACAGCTCGCTTATTTTTTTTCTGAAATGTAATATGGTTTCTGTACCAACTTGTGATGTTATAGCGGCCCTCAGGATTTATGTAGTGAGTTACAAATTCCCTGAGCTGCACTTTCTGGAAGAGGTTTTCCTGATGTCCAGCCTGAACCTCCAAACAGTCCTGCCACTGCCCCAGTTCCACATCTCCCAAGACCACAAACAGCTTCACCCCGTCCCTTTACACCCCTTCAAGAAGTGTTTGGACAACACTCTCAGACACATGGTCTGATTTTTGATTGACCTCTGGGGAATTCAACTTGATTATCCTTGTGGGTCCCTTCCAAGTCGGGATATTCTATGAACTATGTTCATATGAATTTGAACTTGATATTCCTGATACTTGAACTTGATATTCTATGAACTATTGATATTCTATGAATTCTTGAATTGATATTCTATTTCATATGAATGTGTAGGCTGCTGCCACGTGCCCCCTTTCCCCGGCCCAACCAGCCCTGCTGCCCCAGCCTCTCCTCGTGGGCCATCTGCCCCAGGGCCTGCAACATCTCAGTAGCTCCATGATGGCTCTCTCCAGTTTCTCCACATTTCTCTTGAACCGGGGGGACACCAAATTAAAACTTTATTCCACATGATGTCCCAACAGTGCCACGGGTAGGGAGATCAGTCGTTTCCCTGTCTGCTGGCGGTGCTCCTCCTACCATGGGCAGCATGCCACTTGTCTGGTCGGTAACGAGATCGCACTGTCAGCTCATACCCAACCGTCTGCCCTTTTTATCTGGGCTCCTCGTGTCCCCATGAACTGTGTGAGCTGCCTTTGTCATCTCTCATGGCTCAGTGTTATCTGTAACTGTGCAATGGCCCGGAGGCAGTTAGGAGGTGGACCGTGCTAATGCAGCACCTTTCTGCATGCTGCTGTCTGTTCTTCACTCTCACTTATTTAATAACAGCTTCCAGGGTCTTAAAGAAGGAAAAGCTTACATTTTGGGTAAAATAAAAATAGGTCGTTCATCCAGTGAGCTAAGGACATATGTCTTTGTGCAGTAGCGTAACCATCCATCAATTGTTTCAATTTAGGATGTGATCCATCATGTTATTTCGCTCAGCGTTTATATAAAGCCTGGAGTTCTGAATCTTAACTTACTGGATGAAGGACTTTTCATTTCCAAACTGGAAGTCAGGCAACCCAGAAGTTATTAATCACTGTCTTTTTTTGACTGACAAATGACAGCAGCGGCAGCAAGCAGCCCTGACAGCACCTGCGTGCAGGAAAGGACAGAGCAGCAGCAAAAATATGTTCTGCAAAAATTTACACAAAACCTGAAGTTTTTAAGAGGATGGTTGAGCACTTATCCCCAGATATGTAAACTTAATTTAAAAATCTTTATCTAAGAGATTTTACCCTATGACCATTATACTCTTTGCACAGTCCAGTAGCTGGGAGCTGCCAGCAAGAAGCAGAGGTACCCTTGTCATGCACACTGCAGCTGCAAAGCATCCAGCAATTAAAGATACCAGCGAGGTTCAGGTACCAAATGTCTCCCAAAAAGTGAGAGCTAAATCACAGGCCCACTTAGGGCTTTCTCTACCCTGACAAAGAGGTCAGATTCAGTGAACAGATTAAAGAATAAGTTAGCGCCAGTCTCACTGCCACATTGCCTCATCTTTGACAACACCTTTAAGTGTAGGGCAGCCTGGTCCAACGTCTGCTACAAGTCAGCCTGCTGTCATAAAGATCTTCCAGCCCTGAGGAGAAGGGCCTGGGGGTGCTGGATGATGATAAGTCTAGCAACAATATGTCCTTTGGAACTTACTGTGTCACTGAATTCCCTATTTCCTGGAGCTGACACCCCCACACTATCAAATTGTTCACATGCAGACACTGATGTAAATCTGGTCCTAACTCGGGCCTCGCTCCAGGTCTTGCATCTCCTCATGGGTAAGAAGCCAACAACCAGGCCCAATGCAACTGAAACACACCCTCAGGCCCTCTGCCCCGCCGTCTGTTTTGGTCACCATGGATATCACCGGTGTCTTGACCATAAATTCAGGGAAGTCTTCAGTCAGGCTGTTTACTTGGGTCTGCACAGCCAAGGTACATCTAAAGCCTGTAGATTTTGACTGTGTGAAATACCCAATGTAGCAGCTTTCCTCTCAGTCAAACATAAATCTCACCCAGGCTGTCACATACCCAACCTCAGGTACTGCAAAATCTCTCTCTGCAGCTGTGAACGATGCAGTCATGCCCTGATTATATCCATCCGTTCTCTTTCCATCACTTTCTAATCCAAAATTGATCTTCCCCGTGTAGCTCCTCATAGGCACTTATGTAAAAAAGAGATCCCACTCTTCATTTTCAGCAGCTTTCACATCCTATCACACTTATCATCTAACACGCAAATATATCCCCAAATGCACTCAACCAGTACGATCAGCCTCCACTGATCAGCCTCCACTGTCCATTTGATTGATTTTTCACATAAACTTATTTCTATGGCTTAAAATGTTACTTTTGTCACCCATACTTATCTGTTGTCTCTTCTTTTGTGCTTTGATAATCTTTGCTCCCCAAATGTGCTGTATCTCCGAGGTCACAGGGCAATTTTGCTCTTTGGCTAAGAGATCTGAATTCTGCCATACAAGTAGAAAGTTCTTGGTATTTGACACTGGCTGTTAGGAAGGCAGCCCTTAGATATGTTTCTCAGTGGCCGTATCCAGGGCATTCATCCCACAGTCAGCCAGCTGCACTCCCAGCTCCAGCCCAGGTCCACGCCATTCTCAT